TTTGAGTGACAAAAAGAAAAAAACATATGACATGAATAAAAGTACTGATGTTGAAGGACTTTAAAGTGTTAGTACACACCAAAACGCTGTTCGCGTAAAAGAGTAAATTAACACATCATTCGAGCTCCAGCTTCTATGAAGATTCTCAATTATCAATACAACCAACAGTTGTTAATCTATAGAAAAGTGACTCCTAACGAATGCTAACCCACAGTAAAATATATTTGTTTGAAAGGTTTGAAAACCTACTCAGAAAACTGTTCGAACTACTTGAATTTCATAGCTCTTAATTAACGTGTTAACACATTAATATATAATAATCTTGTAAACATTATTTGCCTCTAACAGTATGAGAAAAATTACAGATCGTGTACTTGCATCAACTTACCCATACAAAGATTAAATTAAGCCTGAACATTTTGACATTTTTTTTTACCCGTGTCAGGTTTTTAATATTATCACGACTTCCTGTTAAGATTTCACTAAGTAACCATAGTTAACTGTCTGCTAGACACACCCACACGTTCAGTATTAATTTAAAATAAACATTATATAATATAGTACTAATATAATATAACAAAGATTTTATATGATGACTTTTAAAACTATATGTTATAAAATAGTGAAAAAAAAGTGTTTTTTTTTTTATTTTTGCAATACATGGATAAAACTAGAGGATTCCGAATATCTGACCCAAAAAATAAAAAACAAGAAAAGCGAATATCCTTAATATGATACTAATGTGAACACTACTTTGTACTAGACCGACAAGTTGGGCTGGATTTTTTACGTGCTAATTCACAAGGTACCAGTCCTTAGGAAAACATATTACTACCCGTATACATTATTCTGATTCCAGGCCGATAGTCTTTGCTCCTACTCGTAAATGCCGTGTACTAAACGGAGAAGCAGCAAATACAAAAGTTTAAGTCTGGTTTGACCCAACCGAGGATCAAACCCTCAAATCTAAGCACAAGAGGCGAGCACGCGTATACGAGAATTTGATCAAGTCCAAAGAAAATTTGAAACCAAAGGTCTGAAATCTAAATAATTTAATGAAAATTATCATCATGGGACCAAATACTTTGTAAAATTAGAAGGCATTATTGTATAATTCGAACATGTCATTTCAACATCACTGGTCCTCTTAAGGATGATTTTACTGCCGGATATGGGATTTTCTGTTAACCATTTTTTATATCCAATTCAACAATTGAGCTAACCAGGACCGTAATCCAGACTAGATGAGATGTTCAATGTCTTCAATTCAACCAACTAAACAAACTTTTGGTTTTATTCATAAGCAATAGAAGACACTCGACGTGCGCCAAATTGTATACCACTGTTTATGACAACCGATTAAAAAGCAATGTTCTTTTATGTGTATATTTGGTGTAATGACCTTTTGAAGAAGATATTTTTCGAAGAAGTCATACAATCCCTCTCTAAAAGAAAAACAAAATCAAAAACATCTGGCAACATTCTTTACTTTCGCTTTCAGATAAATTGATGATGTTCTGTCAATAATCCAATTTTAAAGAGTGTTTGCGTGTCATACATCCCTGTGAACTTGCCATGACTTAACTGATTGATTTTATTAACAAATAAACAATTAATAGAATCTGTAGGTTTTTGATAGAGGCCGTCAAGGATGAAGGTCGGAAGGGGGGGGGGATATGGACTGTCATAGGGAAATGAGAGTATATCGGATAGGGACAGAAAGTTTACCTTGCAACAGGCCACATACGAAACCCGGATTTTCTTTATTGTAAACATAGTTTATTCATAAAGATATAAAAAGGATTGAGCAGCAAGCATAGCCTATACAAGCTCTCTCTCCATATTACGTGTACAAGGTATTCATCATGTATTAACAACTGTATTTAGTATAGTAGAACTACAGTGGAAAATGCATGCTACTTATGAGCAAACACAAACAAATGCACATTTATAGTGTTAATTACAGGATGTATATTATATTTATTTGTGTAGGCAATTAATCATAGTCATTTATTCAAGTACATTGAGATATGTATAGATCAACACCACTTGTAAGTCATCAGGAATATATAAATAAGGTTTGAAAGAGGTACTAAGCTTACTTAGTGAAATTAATGATTAATATATTGGGGATGGGAGGGAAAGAAAAGAAAAAAAAAAGAAAAAAAGGTAAAAAAACATTTTTCAAACAAAACGATGAGTGTCAATGATATATATTCCGAACAGATTTAAAAAAAATAGCAATATTTATATCATACGAAAAAACTAATAAGTCGATATTTGTGTCAACATTATTATCAACAATTGAGTGAATGGAATCAAGTAAGATTTGTCTTACATTATTGAAAAAAGACATGCTGGTTTCCCTCAACAGAGTGGTTACAGTTTGAAAAAATAGTGTTCTCTAATAAAACTTGATTAAAATTAATGATGTTTTAGGTTGCTAGCATTGTTTCTAAGTTGACAATGATTGATATTATATTTCCTTATCCCATAATTGAAAGGTTCAAATAATATATCAGTCCTATAACATTTGTCTAGTCTACTTTTAAACATACATTAACTTGAATATTCTTCTATACGTATCTTAACTTGCATGGATCGTGGCATTCTCTATACACAAGATATCGGATTTAACGTTTCTATATCACGTGTCACTGTAGCAACAACTTAACAGTGCTATAACTTGTCTTTGCGTTCACACTTTAAATGATAAAAGTCATTTTTTTTTTAGAAATGGTCACTATTATAAACATTGTGCGCTTTTCTTTTTAATTTTTTGAAATTTGTTCATGGCTTTCCCATTGCAAATTGATGACTCGTCAATGACCTAGATACCGCATGAAACATCCTGTTTCTCTAATTCCTCTTAAAATTGAATTGGGTAACATTACGTAATTTCATTGTAATTTCATCTATGGTTTATGAAAATGATTATATTCGTTTTTTGTATTTCCCGTAGCCAAAGATAAGTTTTGGGGATTTTCATGTTATAGCTCAATAGTCTTAGACATAAAAGGAAAGATTGGAAGGATTTTGGCAATTCTAGTCCTGTATCTTCGTGGCAAATTTTGAACTTTCTCGGAGCATAGCTTTTGAATAAATGAAAAGTGCTTATAGTTTTCTGGTTTATTTTCGCGTTAACGTTGTGGCGAAAAATTCACTATTTCCAGCATGCAAAAGAAAAGGAGATAATCATTCTTTGTTTCTGCTTTCGGTATATACAATGAATCACATTATCAAGGTAAGAAACAATATGTATCTTTAGCTATCATATTACGCTGTACACACTAAATTAAAATTTGTTGTAATACTGCATATCACGTTAAAGAGACAATATACATATGATTATATACCTATAATTATGTACACCTTACGAGAGTGTGCCGATTTAATCTGAAGTTAGCAAAAGGCATACTTTAATACATATAAATTGTGTCCTTAATTAGGGTGACAGAAGTTTATCAATGTTCAAATCTCGTAGATCGATTATGAAGAGGCTAATCAAGGTTGCAAACAGAAACTGAGCGAAGAAACTTATATTTACTTTAGATTTTATAAAATAAGTGATTTATTACATAATCTGCAAAAAGGACAGATAATATCTATTTAACCTTATATTTAATCCAGTTGTAAGAAGTACACTGATGGCGAATTAAACATTGTCTTTTTTCTTCGTTTGTTGATTTTAATTGGTATTGGTCTCAATTGTTTGTCTCAATTCCGTTATCACTTTGTTGTCATGTTTTTGTCGGTCCCCTACAAAATCTTCCATTTCATTGTCCATTCCTAAAAATCGTATTGCAATCTCAAATTAAATTGATAATCACCAAATATTTGAGATAGATTTAATCGGAACGGGGAGGTATCTAAATGTACTTTTTCGTCCACTGATAAGAAATGGACAGAAAGTAATGTTAGACAATTTTGATCTTTGAAATCATTCAGAATAAAAAGATACTTAAGAGTAAAAAGCAGTACACTTTACTTTTTTTCTCCTTTTTGTTTTTGAGGTTGCTCATTTAGGTTGTTTGATTCGTTTTTATTTTATTCACTGAAACCATTTAAAAAAAAATTCAACATAACCCACTCAGTAGTGGTTTACAGCTTACAGTATTTTATGGATTTTGCTCTTCTTTGGTGACCTTACGGTAATCTTTAATTGTTAACATCTTTCGTTCTACGTTCTGCAACCATTCAAAGTGGCAATACAGCACTTGGATTTTTACGAAATGATGAATATGTGACTAAATTTTATTACTCAACATTTACCCATCATTGAATTCAATGTATAATGCGTGTTAAAAACAAAAAAATATATAAAGCCTTCACTGAATGTTTTTTACACAACATGACCCCAACGCTTTGATATTTTCCTAATATTAAAAGAAGGGTTCATAACTTGTAAGTAAATAAGACAGCTGCATATAGATGAAAGATTTACTCCTTACCTCCTGCAATATATGTCGACTAAACTTACATCATTCACAAATGACCATGGTCATTCATTATCAATGAAATAATATGTTTAGTTTTGATTGCATATTGTTTTAAAACAATAAAACGATTTTGTTTTCTTTTTCATGGGTAATTTCTTTTTGTCTACAATATTTGTCATCGTCATCAACCCAAGGTTGTAAAAAATTGAAGAATAATCAATTGCAACGTCAAGGGAAAATAGGACTCTCTGTGTCTGAATTCTTGATGTATTGCGCTTTACGAAGGTCAAATATCGCTCTGTTAGCGTTGATAACAATAACGTGTTTAAGAAATTGTGCAATAGGAAATAACGCTGGTTTATTTAGTCAACGAACATTGGGTCACACGAAAACAGTTTAGAATGAATTTATTGGATAATTTAAATATCAAAATGCAATAATCACTATTTCAGTTTGGTTGTCCCACTATAATCGTATGTAAAACATTCTTTTCAAGTCTATTTTTTTTATTTTTTTCAGGAACCATCTACATTTTGTATAACTCATGGCTCATCCTATCTGTAATATTGCAAACATCACTGCTGATTTAAACAATATTAAACATGCCGACATTAATTTACCTTATCATATCGTTAATTAATTTTTCCGTATTTGCTCATAAATGTCGGATAGTACAACACGGTGATCAAACAATTGCAGATTGCACCAGACTGAAGTTAAATTATGTTCCAACAGGTTTACCATTGAGTATATCAGGTCTTGATCTGAGCTATAATCAAATTTCAAAGATAGAAAACAATGCCTTTGAATCTTTTTCTAATTTGACAACACTGACAATGGATTCTAACAATATTGATACTATAGATGGTCCTGCCTTTAAAGGTTTAAAAAGATTACGATGGCTTTCAATGAAGCACAACCAACTAAACATATGCTCTACAATATTTGACATTGTACTTAAACCGTTATTGCATCTACAACACTTAGACATCAGATACAATATAAATAAAACGGTGGATATACCAAAACCAATGGTTTATCCCTACTTTGGAAACCATTCTTTTTTAACTGATTTATATATGGATATTGTGCAAAACCCTGTATTCAATTTGAGCGGATTTGAAAAATTATCGAAACTCAACACAATAAAGTTTGCACGATGCTATTTAAAACAGATGACTAATGACACCTTAGTGGATTTACCATCAACCATTACTGCAATCTACTTTCACCAGTGTGTCGGTAGGATATCGATTGTAGAAGCAGACCTTTTAAAGCCGTTTCCACTACTTAAGATATTAAATATGAATAGAGTGGCTATACAATTAGGAGATGCTTTACAACTACTATATCCTTTCACGAATAAAAGAATGAACTCAATTATATTCAAACAAATCAGTCCTCAGGTTCCGAAACCTGTTTTTATATCTCGTGTTATGATTAACTATTTGATGCATATTTGTGTAAAAACCTTAGTTTTAGCAGAAAGTGAAATTGTAGGATACGAACAAAGATCTCTTCTTGCACCAAAATTTCCCGAATGTCTAGAAAATGTTGTACTTTCAGGCAACCGATTTTCAATAGCATTAGGACCCCATTTAGGGGAACTGATAATACTTTTGAAGAAAATAATCAATTTGAAATTTTTTGACTTGTCGTATAATGCAATTAATTTCAACAATATTGAATACTGCAACCTAGACGTGCTAGACAATCCTTCATATGCAAAAGAAATATATAGGAAAGGATGCCAAATTAAGTCTGAAACTACAAATGAATATAAAGATTACAACCCAATATTAGAAAAAGCTCAAATGATTGATGAACCTAAATTTACGATTTTTTTACCTGCTAATCTTACTTTTCTTCGTGTTTCTCATTATATGACATCGTATATACAGACGGGACAAAAGTTATATGTAGCCAATGTCGATAATCTCAGATACTTAGATTTCTCGTACTGGCAGATAAAGCAGTTTCCTGAAATATATTCAGAGACTCCTTTCAATGTTAAATATATGGACATTTCAGGACTTAACGCAAGTATTCTTATTCATGAGACGTCAATACCGGTTTTTCAAAATGTCCAAACAGCTATTTTGAAAAATGCAATGCTTGGTCTAACAATTGGAAAGAATGGTATAGTTTTCCAACTATTTCCGGCCGTTGAAAAATTAGATATATCATACAACAACTTATGGTATCTAGATGCAGATGCCTTTGACAAAAACTCAAATTTGTCAAATGTCAATATAGCACACAATCTACTGCCAGCTATACCTATAGCAGTGATTAATTTGCGCTACTTAGGTAAATTTGATATTAGTTACAACCGCCTTCAAACAATCAATAAAACATTTAGAGACTGGATGGATGAGAAAAGTTATGAAGGAATATTTTATTTGTCGATAGAAGGGAACAGTCTTAAATGCACTTGCGACACGTCAGATTTTATAAGGTGGCTTTTCAGCACAAAAGTCGTTTTTGATCTGGTCAATAAAAATTTCAGCTGCACATTGACAAATGGATCGGAAAGTAACACGGTGGTTGTGTACAGACGATTTCATGAACATTTTGGCAACTGCAATAGCAAAAATTGGTTGCGCCTAGGAATAGGACTTCTTGTTGCGTTCGTCATTTTCACTGTTCCGTTTGCAGTGATTTTTAATTTCCGATGGAAAATAACTTTTTGGATATATCGTAACTTTAAAAGAGTCGTAGAACATAGATTAGAAAGAAAATTTGATTACGATATTTACTTGTCATATGCAGACGACATGCTTCAGTGGGTTAAAGGTGATTTTCTTCAGAGAATAGAAACTTCGTGGCACATGAAAGTATGCGTAGAGGACCGTGATTTCCTAATTGGAGCAACGAAAGCAGATGAAATAGCAAATGCTATTGCTGGCAGCAAACATGCAATTTTTATACTGTCTGAGTCCTACAAAGATAACGAGTGGCACAAATTTGAAATCGAAAGAGTCAAGTTTGAAAAATGCAGAAATTACTTACAGAAAATAATAATCGTAGTAAAAGAAGCTAGAGTTAATTGCGTTCCTCATGAGTTGGACGACATTCTACAATATGTCACTATAATAGACTGGGCTGATAACGAGATCGGCTGGGACAAACTGCGGATGACATTGTTCACTGATTTCTTTTAATTGGTGCAAAATTATAAATCAAATACCATGCAAAAACCCCTTCTGATGATACATTATGCACAATACGCTGCTTAGAAATCGTTGATTAATATATCTTCGACTGTTAATTGTTTTAAACAGTGGCTATTTTCTTCCTACTTTGATAGTAAGTTTATCTATTATGGGCACATTAAGTATAAGGTCTATGTGAAAAGATTCCTAACGGCCAAGCCGATCTAATTTATTAATAGGAAGGTTATCTTAGATATGAATTGTAAATAAACCCCCAATCCAAGTGGATACTATCAACACTTTACATAAATTTTTGTCCCATTTTCTGCTGTACTATCTCGGAAAAAAGTGATTAAAGTACAACATTTTGCAATCCACGACGATAAAGGCAAAATAATAAAGAATCTCACATGGTGTTAAAGACTTTTAAGGTTAAACAAGCACCAAAAATAATTAGCATGAATACATTGGTTTATGCCTTATTAAGTATTATTCGTGTAGTTTTAAAATTTCCATTTTTGTTTAACTTTACGCCCTTTATCTGAAGTTTCATCACCAAATCTAAATATAGTGCGAAACTAAAATATGTAGGTACAATTTAAAGAAATACTCTGTAACTATAAAACTGTGAACAAATAAATTAACATTATAACTTTATATGGGATAATCATTTACGTAAATGTTGTTTCATAACGTTTCCTTCATTGCTTTTTAAAGCGAATTTGTTTAGGATACAGGAGGTTTGTGTAAAGGATATCTATTCAACGATAAAAGGAATAATTTGACCAACTGATGTAATATGCTGTGATGCATAAAAAGTAAATTAACAAAAATACCGAACTCCAGCGAAAATTCAAAACGGAAAGTCCCTTATCGAATATCAAAAAACAAAAGCTCAAACAAATCGAACGAAAGAAAAACAACTATCATATTCCTAACTTGGTAAAGGCATTTCCTGATGTAGAAAATATATAAGTAGTATATCATTACTTATAATTGTAGTTTTTCTCATTTGCATTTCCCCGGCAAATGAGATTCTGTAATAATACGGTAATCTCCTAAGTTGCTTCCTCGGACAACTCAGGGTTTATGTAACGGGTGGTGTTTATTAATAACATATGTTTAAAATTAAAAACTAAAATAGCTTTTCCTTGTACAAGTAAAACATTTCAGAAAACCAACTGTTTCTTTAATTCCAGAATTATAGACTATACAATACAAACACTTATAAACTAAATAATACCGTATCAAAAATGCTCGAAGTTGATGCATCTTGGAATGACAAAAATTACCAGTTTCAAAGAACAGCAGTATTTTCAAAACTAATATCAATAAATCTAGTTCAGCTGAACAGAACAATTAAAAGGACAGTTCCTAAATGTTCTTGATTTATGAAAAACGTTATAGCAAAATATGAGTGAGAAATGCCACGTTTGAATTGTCCAATCTGCGTTTTGTTTATTTCAAAATTATTATATATACATATATGTGAAGACTTAAATCTATTCAGCAATACTATATATCACCAAGCAAGAATTTTAAGTATTGTTTCCGGAACTTGTTACATTCCTTCCGTTAACTTTTTTCAACTATAACATATCTTCCTGGTTTGAAAGAGAAATGAAATGTGTTTTTGAGTTATTCGCAGGTATATCTGAATCAAAAATGTTTTGTAGCTTAAAAATATTTGACATTTCAAACTATTAATTATCTTCCCATCTCTTAAATTATGTTTCTACCCTCGACCTTGCTATGTATATAAACTTTAACCTTTAATTAATTTGTTAATAAGTTTAAGCCTATTATTTTTGTAAATCATCATCGTCTCACTCCACTGAAATATCGGAGTTCTTCCGATACCTACCCTACACACAATATCGAATATTCTATTTTCTGGACCATTGTCGTGCTGGCTACGGATTCCAGATACAGACTGATTGTTTGGACATATATGTAACACTCAGAAACGTGTCCACCCCCCCCCCCCCCACCCCCCCCCCCCCCTTCACCCAACCGTGTCCGATTCTCCCAAACGTGTCCATATGACGTCACTGAACTGCAAACAAATATCTAGTTCCTAAAAGGCACCAAAACGTGTCATTTTTGTGAACACCCAATTGTTTCCGTTTCATTAAAACCACCCAAACGTGTCCAATCCCCCAAACGTGTCCAATTCAAGCCTAGACGTCTCCTTTTTGTGAATTCTCTGTGGTGTCCATATATTGAAAACGCCAAAACGTGTCCTACCTATTATTTTTTTTTTGTCAATATGTTGTCCTAAACATGCATGAAATATTTGCCATTGGACGTTAAGCATCCAGCAGTCAATCAACATTTTGTCCTAAATATGCATGAATTAATTTCCACAAAAGTTAAAATAGCAACAATCAGTTAATCCATTATTTTCTGTTAGTCGATTATTACCTTGCTAACAATAAATTTAACGTAATGTGACAGTTAAAACGATAATGCACATTTAAAATAATCTAAATTCACATCTTGTAAGTTACGCATACTGTTTGTAACGTACTTTAACCTTACCTTTAAGTAATACACATGTACATGTTTTTCTAACGATTATAAATTATGAGGCTGGTATCAGGGATGCTTATGATACATGCAAAGTTATTTCTCTTGTCTGTCTCTCTTCACTGAAATACCGTAAACGTTATTGACGTCGCTGAGGACATATTAGCGCTCAAAGTTTTGTGACGTTCTTGCGTTTTAAAGTGGACACGTTTTGGCAAACAACAATTATTGGACACGTTTGGGGATGTGCAATCGGACACGTTTGGGTGATTTGTGATTTTGAGGACACGTTTGGGCGAAATAGACACATTTGGGGGAATCGGAAACGTTTGGCGGAATGAACACGTTTGAGAGTGTTACATATATACTCCAATTGTTCATCATAACTATTCAACCAACAGTTGCATGCTTTGAATATGATTGCAAAGACGACAAAACAAAAACGTTCTTGTTCATATTCTGAAACCAAAATGTATTACATTTCACTCTTGAAATGGAGCAGCTTACAATTTTACAATTCAGATGGACTAAATGGTAGGTGAACAAGTTTTAACACTGATTTGAAATTGATGATTTAGCAAAACATCAAAATGTTCCCATAGTTCATCGTCGTCCTTCATTTAACAATTCATTTGGATTGTATTCAGATTTAATAAATGTTAACTACAACTTATTCTATTCTACTTTTGTTGGTGATTTTTTAAATCAGGGTTGTCCAATGTTTCATACTTTTTGTCTTCTGATCTCACACTTGACTACTGTCTCAGTTGAGGGGGGATATGAACACTCACAAAAATGTTAAAAACAATTTTTTTTTATATGCCTGTACAAAACCAGGAAGCTGTAATCCATGATTGTCGTATATATTTGCCTTTCTCTTCTATATATTTGTTTTTGTTGAAGTAGGAATCAGGCCTTTCCTATTTCATTTGAAATGTACATTATTTTTTACGTAGGACCATGTTATAGATTACTATACGAAATTGGTTTATGTTCGTTCTTGTAGGCAGTACGTTTACCTGTAATTGTTTACATCTTTGTCCTGTGGTCTATTGTCGAACAGCGGTATACTACTGTTGCCTTTATCTATGGGTATGTGTCTCAATATCAACTTTACCAAATCTCCTGATTTATTTTATTTTGGTATTAGATATTGAGTATCCTTTTTTGGGTCTACAATGTATTGTAGGTTTATATTAAATTACTAAGTTATATCTATTCACATATATCCATTGTTCTATGTCAGCCCGATGCTAACTAAATTAATGTAAATTGAAAAGAATGCATACGGACTACAGAAGAATTAAACCATGTGTTGATTAGTTAATTGAAAAATTTTGTTGCTTTTACAATAATTGTATTTATAGCTCATTCTGATATGTTGGTTACTTTTGACTAATCACCAACTGACAGAGGTAACTCTGCAAATACAGTACAGGTATTCCGTTAATATTGTTCTGTTGATGAATTTCAAATTTGTGATACTACCTTTCAATTTTAAGTTTTTAAAGAATCGTTAATAAACGTATTTTTTCAAATTTAATTTCAATTCATGCATTTTGTACACAATAAACAACCAATTAAATGTCTATTTGATCATAGCACCGCTGTACGTTCAGTATTCATTTTCAATAAATATCATAAACTACAGTACTGAATGATGAAAAGTGATTTATAAGTAGCGTCGTCTATATTACAGTTCATATGTATTAGTCGGCACAACGAAACAGGTTAGTCATAATATTTGATGTAAACCGGTAGAAATATTAACGCCATCTTGTCCTTACATTTTATATTTTCATATATTATTTTATCTTTTTTCAAATCAATTTATAACACCGAAGTTACAACTGTATTTTTTTTTTCTTTTTGCTATATCCACTTCAACACACAATTCACAAGTATTGTCAGTGTTTATGAGAGGTACGGTAAACAGGCATTTAAACTAAAAATTAAAAATTTGCAAAAGAAATAGCATATTGTTGTCAATAAATAGCATTATGCATCAAAACACATTAAATGACTAATACAACTTTATTATAGATTTTAACGTATCGATTTTGTTCATTTTTATTTTATTTTTTTTTTTGGTTTGGTTACCTGCATTAAAAGACTAACCCTAGTACTAAACAAATAATTTTTTTACCAATATAGATCTGTGTTATGCCGCTTTATCCGATGAACATCATTTCAAACAACTAAAGCTAACGAAAAATGGGAAATCTTACGTTTTTTTATTTTTCGTCGCCTCAATCCGCCGCAACATATCTTTACAAAACTTGAAATATGAATAAGAAGATGTGGTATGAGTGCCAATGAGACAACTCTCTATCCAAGTCACAATGTATAAAAAGTAAACAATTATAGGTCAAAGTACGGCCTTCAACACGGAGCCTTGGCTCACACCGAACAACAATCAATAAAGGGCCCCAAAATGACTAGTGTGAAAACAATTCAAACAGGAAAACCGACGGTCTAATCTATATAAAAACATGAAACGAGAAACACTTATAAACCACACCAACAAACGACAACCACTGAATAACAGGCTTCTGACTTAGGACAGATGCATACAAATGCAGCGGGTTTAAACGTTTTAACAGGCGCCAACCTTCACCCTAACCCAAAACAGTAGTGTAACATTACAACATAAAAAAGACCCACTATAAAATATCAATTGAAATGGCTTAACTCGATCAAAAAGACCTATAAATAAAAACAAGTAAACATCATGGACCGTTCCCAAATGGACATGGCACAGTTTTCTGTACTATATTAGAAAGTAAAGTAAAGAATAATACGACTTTTATTTATATATGTCGATCGTTGACGTCGCTGGCTTACGCACCCTTTTTTGTTTATATTGTGGACCCAATTGAACGACTTCAACCTAGAATATATGACAAACGCTACGTTACCAGTTTCCCAATTGTCAACTTCCCATATTTCATTAGAACATTTTAAATTATAAGGATTCATTAAAATGGATGTGCTTATAACGCAATAGAAGGG